CCGAATTTGATGACAGACTGGGCAGGGTCGAGCGAGGCCTTCTTCTCTGAAAGTTTACGCCCGGGATTTTCCATCTTTATGGACTTGAAGAGCTGGGTGCCCGACTGGAGGGAGGTGAGGGTGAACGTGGTGTACAGGCCCGAGGTGATGTAGTCGTTGCGGCTAGAGGATTTGTTAGAGCCCTGAACCGTCATAAGTGGTCCAGTCTTCTCGCCCCCCACCCTGTTCTCTTTCGGGGTGTCACCCCTCTCAGACGAGGCCAGGGAACCACCCCCACCGCCGCCACCGCCCCCCTCCACCTTCGCCATGTAGTCTCCACTGAGGATGTCAGGGTAGGACACAAAGCGGTAGACAAACTTCTGCCCGTTCACCTTCTTAATGATGTTCTGTTGGGAGAATCAGGTTACTGTAATACATGTTGCCCATCAAAAAATATGAAATTTCATTTTAAATTCTGTCAAAGCAAACAAATCAGTAAGAGACAACTTTCATGATTTCAGAGGCATTACAAGCTAATTCCGTCAAAACTCTCACTAAAGTAAAACACTGGATAAAGTAACGCTTGATCTGAGTGAAAGTGAAATGAAATGGAGGAGTAAACGCATTTATTAGCAGAATAGTCTCAGCAGTAAAAAGGCGATGTTAAAAAAAAAGATTGACAGCGCTACTGTTTGTGTCTTTGTGTATTACAAACACAAAAAATATATATATATTCCAAACTGGTATGGATTGCATATTGGCAGGAATATCCCAGTTAAAACTAAACACGAATGTCCCTTGAACCAGAGGTACCTTGTTGAGGACTACCCTCAAACACGGAGAGAAAGTGAATCAATGACTGACACATGTAAGAAATGAGGACAACCAAGGTTTTTTTAACCTAATGACAATCTTCATTTGGCCGAAAAAGGTATGTTAATCAGTACAGGAAATGGAAATTCTACTCGCATCCATGACTCCAGACAAATGGACTTTAGCCCTTGACATTCATTCTGCTTGCTGGGAATAAGAGTGAAAAACTGTATAGCCCACCATGACAGCGACCCAGTCATGGCCAAACTGCAGGCAGCTTACCTTGTCATAGTAGTAGCGCAGGGCCCGGCTCAGCTTGTCGTAGTTCATGCTGGGCTTGTTCTTACGGGCTCCCCACAGCTTGGCCACCTCCTCCGCCTGCAGCAGCTTGAATTCCCCGTCCTCATTGGTCCAGCAGATCAGCTGATCGTTGCTGGGGTCCAGGAGGAGCTGCAGCAGAAACTGCCACAGGGTCACTGAGCTGTCCATGCCTGCTGTGGGGAAAGGCCAGAACAGATGAGGAGAGATGAAAGAGATGGAGAGAGAAAGGAGGACCAGCTCTGAACTGGCCAATGGAACTTACCCACCAGAACAAGGGACTATCACAATGATATAAAAATGATATGCCAAAATGTAAACCGATGATAAGGCCATAAAAGACAGCATTTCCCACTGATAAAATTAAACATAAAAATAAAAAAGTCAATCCCTTAGTTTTACCTCTTCCTTTAATTTCCCCTCTTTCCTTTCAGTTCAGTTCAACACTTTACATTTTGTGCTACTCTTGAGTATGGAGATGCTTGCAGAAGCAGCCACTATAACAGGCCATTGGCAGTGCTCTCTCGTTTCTAGCCACTATGTTCAGAGGCATGCAGAAAGAACAAGTTCTTGGGACGGAGATCAAAGAGTGCCTGATCTGAGGATAAAGTATAATGAGTCCCTAACCCCTAAATTATATTTGCTTCTTTAGGGTTGGGAGTGGGATTTAAATTTGGCAGTGTAAGGTATAATGGCAGTGTAAGGTATGAATGTAAATGGTACGGTCTAGTATCCATTTCAGTTGCGAACATTTAGCAGACACTACAATCTACCCATTTACACATGTGGATATTGTTATTGTGATAACTTAGGTGAAGTACCTTGTGCATATCTACTATGCCTTAGCTGGGAATCAAACTTGCAATATACACAGGACCACAGTAGCTCCAAAATCATACTACACAAGTAACATTGTTATGGCTTGTTTGGTACTCAACGTAAGATTTAGGTCTACGTTCAGTACAGAGAGCAGAAGTTCAGGTATTTCTTCTGTTTACATGTATATTTTTTTATACTTTTATTTTTTTCAAAACATTTTTTCAATAAATTAGGTTGACATCATTAAGAATTTGCCTAAACAGATACAGTGATACAGGTAGGTCCCCTTTGGATTCCCCCCCCCCCCCCCCCCTCGGTACAAGTCTGTTACATAAAAACATATCTTGGGTACAAGAACAGGAATTGCTGTCATGCCCCGAGCAAACATTTAAAGTTATTGCGACGCACAGTGGATGTAACAAAACTTGAAAGTTGTCTCTTGTTTATTTGAATAGTACTGTATTGCTTCCTTACATTAGGCTACAAGAAGGCAGAAATGTTTCTCACAAAAGATGTTTTTAGACAAATGTTTACAATACTGTACCAAGCGCATACGTTCAGCTTTAAGTTACACTTCTGCTGCAATTGTTATTGCTTTACACGCGGTCAGAGACTGTTTACGGAGGGCAAGACATACCTTTAAGAGTCTTAAATGCGGGTCATCGTCGACAGTACTCAAAATCATCAGAGAATTCAAATACTTAGACGATGTTTTCAATACTTTTTACGAGGGTACTTTTTTTTTAATCAGACGAAAGAAGCCATGCTCCCATTTACAGTTTCCCATTCTATGCACAAGCAAACAGATCCACTTCCGGAATCATAAAGTAGACGAAGCGGCTGCATTTCGTGGCAAGTTACTGCACACTTCATCGCGCTGTTGAGCTCACCATTATTTCTGTCCTGCTTGCGTATTTGGGCGTGTTGTGATAAATTAGGGCCTGTTCCGGCCTTGGTCAGCACTCTATATAAGACGCACTGGCTGAAGAAAACTTAGTTACGTTTGTGAGATCTGAAGTTGCAACAAGCAACTAGTTGCTAAACAAAAGTAGTGCACAAAATAAAGGTGCCCAGCTATAACTAACAACTGTAAATATGTGATGGTTTGACAACTATATGACGTTACCAAAGTATGTGATGTTAGTTGCAGAGGTAGCTGCAAAACATATACTGTTACTACTGTAATAAAAACTATGCAAGAACTGAGGTGACTCACCTAGCCGACGTCCTTGTTGAGGATGGAATCCAGAGTTAAACGTCTACGGTACAACTTCATACTATAAACATGCGAGCATATTCACACACTGAAGCCGCAAAATATTTTTTTACTGCAAATTAACAGGAGCTATGGTGTTCAGACAGGATTTATACGGAGTAAAAACCTTTAAGAACAGGAAATTAATACCAATGAGATCACTTCCTCTTCAGTTTGAATTTTCCAAAAAAAAAAAAAAATCCAAACAGAATTTAGGCCACTATAGAGATCTATAATAGATGTCTTAAAATATCATCGATTCAAATACCCAACAACAGATTGATTTGAAAACAATCAAGGACCCATGGTTTCTTATTGGAATTCGGTGACTTGCGGCAAACACACAAAACTTCTTGCTGAATTTTGCGTGAACCTCTACGAGCCTGCGTGGGTGGGTGGTGTTAGCTGCGTGTTACATATTCATTACAGAAGTTTAGGGACAAGAAAAATCGATCTCTCATAGTCCAGTATGCCAGCAATGCCAGTTTGAGCGTTGTTTATTTTCTTTACCGTGCCGTTTTTAATTTCCAGTTACATTTCAACCTGCTTTCTGTTTCTTTTGTATTTCCGCTATCAGCCTGTTGGAAAGAAATGCATGATACCCTCACCATTAATACAAGAATTTGGGAGAATGATAACAAATTACTACAGTTATTATTCGATTATTGTATTTAAATTATGTTATTCCATGCTGCTAAGCCTCGATGGCTGAATTTAGAGGATAATTCTCTTTTCAAAGTGTGCAAAATGCAACAATTGTTCAGGTAATTAAGTAACATACTTTATTTTAAGAGTACAAAGCATTTTTCAGTTTTAAAAGGAATGGAAAAGAATGGGCGACACAGACACGACTCTAAGTTACACGAATCGTTATCATATCTTTCTGGCTGAATGGGCTACATACTTCGTTCACTTTTTAAAGCTGACATTTCACACAGACTTTCTTAGCGTCATTTTGCCGAAAGATGGCGCTATTAAATCCACTTAAAAAGATACATATGAGATATTTGTCCCAGTGACCTGTTTAGGAAAGAAACAAGTACGGTATGTGTGGAACAGCTCAGTTCCCAAAACTGAAAAAAAAAAAACATAATTAAAGATTACAAAAACGATAGAAAATACTATGTGGTTTTCTGTGACAGAAAACTCATGAAATTCATAAGATTCATTTATTTATACCTTTTCAGTTCTTGAGGAGACTAACTCCCCAGTTACTGACATGAGATCTATATTTTCAGTCTTTCAGAGATATATATCAGGATCCATGCTGCCTTGCCTTTAAAACAGGACGAGTAAACCCAGAGTCGAATCTATAAATCTTCTGATCCGTAGTCAGACGCGTTATGTAATGCACCAGTGGCCCCATATGCTTCATGCTTTACAGTCCAAAACTGGAGGGGGGGAAAACGAAATGTTTAATACCACAAGAAGAGAAAACGACGTATTCCTTGAAATTGAGGGAATTGTATAAATAAGTAATTCACTGAGATCACACAAGAAGTAAGAGTATTTCCAGTTTTTTAGACACCCAACTGTCACATTACTGAAATAAAATCGATACAAGTCAGGATCCATTGCACCACTGGTCCCATGTTCAAAACAGTGTTCGGCCCAAAATAGAAAAGAAACTAAACTTTTAATATCACAAATAGCAGAGAATTTATGCTATTTGAAATTACAGGCTGAGTATTAATCAGTAATTTACTGAAATGACACAGAAAATATTAGAATTTCCAGTTTTTTTAGACACCCAACACTATTACTGAAATTAAACCACAGCTCAACATCTATGCGGCATTGCCTTTAAAAAAAAGCACAAGCCAGCCAGGAGTCGAACCTACAATCTTCAGATTTATAGTCAAACACATTATCCATTGTGCCACTGACCCCATGTACATAATTATTTACAGTCCAAAACTGGAGAAAAAGAAAAAGTTTAATATTAAAAGAAGAGGAGAAAACAATGTGTTCATCCAAATTACCGGCTTGGTATGAATTAGTAATTAGCTGAAATGAAACAACAGGTATGAGCATTTCCAGTTTTTTAAAGACCCAAGTCTCGTATGACTGAAATAAAATCGCAACAAGATCTATGCAGCATCGCATTTAAAAGGGCACGAGCCAGCCAGGAGTCGAAAATAGAATTGAATCTAGAACCAAGAATTGGGCTGGATATTAATCCAAGTCGAACCTAGAATCTTCTGATCCGTAGTCAGACGCGTTATCCATTGCGCCACTGGCCCCATGGTCAAGACAGCACATGACCCAAAACAGAAAACAAACTAAACTTTTAATATCCCAAATCGCAGAGAAAACAGTTTGTAGCTTGAAATTGCTGGCTGGGTATTAATCAGTATTTGGCTGAAATGGCAAAGGAGATCTGAGCATTTCCAGTTTTCTGGACAGCCAACTCTCGATTACTGAAATGAAATCGCAAGTCAACATCCATGCAGCATTGCCTTTAAAAAGAAGGCACGAGCCAGCCAGGAGTCGAACCTAGAATCTTCTGATCCGTAGTCAGAGGCGTTATCCATTGCGCCACTGGCCCCATGTTCAAAACAGTACATGGCCCAAAACAGGAAAAAAGTAAACTTTTAACATCACAAATCACAGAGAAAACTGTTTGTAGCTTGAAATTGCTGGCTGGGTATTAATCAGTAACTGACTGAAATGGCAAAGGAGATCTGAGCATTTTCAATTTTTTGGACAGCCAACTCTCTATTACTGAAATGAAATCGCAATTCAATATCTATGCAGCATTGCTTTTTAAAAAAAAAAAAGGGCACGAGCCAGCCAGGAGTCGAACCTAGAATCTTCTGATCCGTAGTCAGACGCGTTATCCATTGCGCCACTGGCCCCATGGTCAAAACAGTACATGGCCCAAAACAGGAAAAAAGTAAACTTTTAATATCCCAAATCGCAGAGAAAACAGTTTGTAGCTTGAAATTGCTGGCTGGGTATTAATCAGTAACTGACTGAAATGGCAAAGGAGATCTGAGCATTTCCAGTTTTCTGGACAGCCAACTCTCGATTACTGAAATGAAATCGCAAGTCAACATCTATGCAGCATTGCCTTTAAAAAGAAGGCACGAGCCAGCCAGGAGTCGAACCTAGAATCTTCTGATCCGTAGTCAGACGCGTTATCCATTGCGCCACTGGCCCCATGGTCAAGACAGCACATGGCCCAAAACAGGAAACAAACTAAACTTTTAATATCCCAAATCGCAGAGAAAACAGTTTGTAGCTTGAAATTGCTGGCTGGGTATTAATCAGTAACTGACTGAAATGGCAAAGGAGATCTGAGCATTTCCAGTTTTCTGGACAGCCAACTCTCCATTACTGAAATGAAATCGCAAGTCAACATCTATGCAGCATTGCCTTTAAAAAGAAGGCACGAGCCAGCCAGGAGTCGAACCAAGAATCTTCTGAGCCGTAGTCAGACGCGTTATCCATTGCGCCACTGGCCCCATGTTCAAAACGGATCATGGCCCAAAACAGGAAAAAAGTAAACTTTTAATATCCCAAATCGCAGAGAAAACAGTTTGTAGCTTGAAATTGATGGCTGGGTATTAATCAGTAACTGACTGAAATGGCAAAGGAGATCTGAGCATTTTCAGTTTTTTGGACAGCCAACTCTCTATTACTGAAATGAAATCGCAATTCAATATCTATGCAGCATTGCTTTTAAAAAGAAGGCACGAGCCAGCCAGGAGTCGAACCTAGAATCTTCTGATCCGTAGTCAGACGCGTTATCCATTGCGCCACTGGCCCCATGTTCAAAATGGAACACGGCCCAAAACAGGAAAAAAGTAAACTTTTAATATCACAAATCACAGAGAAAACAGTTTGTAGCTTGAAATTGCTGGCTGGGTATTAATCAGTAACTGACTGAAATGGCAAAGGAGATCTGAGCATTTCCAGTTTTCTGGACAGCCAACTCTCGATTACTGAAATGAAATCGCAAGTCAACATCTATGCAGCATTGCCTTTAAAAAGAAGGCACGAGCCAGCCAGGAGTCGAACCTAGAATCTTCTGATCCGTAGTCAGACGCGTTGTTCATTGCGCCACTGGCCCCATGGTCAAGACAGCACATGGCCCAAAACAGAAAACAAACTAAACTTTTAACATCCCAAATAGCAGAGAAAACAGTTTGTAGCTTGAAATTGCTGGCTGGGTATTAATCAGTAACTGACTGAAATGGCAAAGGAGATCTGAGCGTTTTCAGTTTTCTGGACAGCGAACTCTCGATTACTGAAATGAAATCGCAATTCAACATCTATGCAGCATTGTCTTTAAAAAGAAGGCACGAGCCAGCCAGGAGTCGAACCTAGAATCTTCTGATCCGTAGTCAGACGCGTTATCCATTGCACCACTGGCCCCATGGTCAAGACAGCACATGGCCCAAAACAGGAAACAAACTAAACTTTTAATATCCCAAATCGCAGAGAAAACAGTTTGTAGCTTGAAATTGCTGGCTGGGTATTAATCAGTAACTGACTGAAATGGCAAAGGAGATCTGAGCGTTTTCAGTTTTCTGGACAGCGAACTCTCTATTACTGAAATGAAATCGCAATTCAATATCTATGCAGCATTGCTTTTTAAAAAAAAAAAAGGGCACGAGCCAGCCAGGAGTCGAACCTAGAATCTTCTGATCCGTAGTCAGATGCGTTATCCATTGCGCCACTGGCCCCATGTTCAAAATGGAACACGGCCCAAAACAGGAAAAAAGTAAACTTTTAACATCACAAATCACAGAGAAAACTGTTTGTAGCTTGAAATTGCTGGCTGGGTATTAATCAGTAACTGACTGAAATGGCAAAGGAGATCTGAGCATTTTCAGTTTTTTGGAAAGCCAACTCTCTATTACTGAAATGAAATCGCAAGTCAACATCTATGCAGCATTGCCTTTAAAAAGAAGGCACGAGCCAGCCAGGAGTCGAACCTAGAATCTTCTGATCCGTAGTCAGATGCGTTATCCATTGCGCCACTGGCCCCATGTTCAAAATGGAACACGGCCCAAAACAGGAAAAAAGTAAACTTTTAACATCACAAATCACAGAGAAAACTGTTTGTAGCTTGAAATTGCTGGCTGGGTATTAATCAGTAACTGACTGAAATGGCAAAGGAGATCTGAGCATTTTCAGTTTTTTGGACAGCCAACTCTCCATTACTGAAATGAAATCGCAATTCAATATCTATGCAGCATTGCTTTTTAAAAAAAAAAAAGGGAACGAGCCAGCCAGGAGTCGAACCTAGAATCTTCTGATCCGTAGTCAGATGCGTTATCCATTGCGCCACTGGTCCCATGTTCAAAATGGAGCATGGCCCAAAACAGGAAAAAAGTAAACTTTTAATATCACAAATCACAGAGAAAGCAGTTTGTAGCTTGAAATTGCTGGCTGGGTATTAATCAGTATTTGGCTGAAATGGCAAAGGAGATCTGAGCATTTCCAGTTTTCTGGACAGCCAACTCTCCATTACTGAAATGAAATCGCAATTCAACATCTATGCAGCATTGCCCTTAAAAGGAAAGCACGAGCCAGCCAGGAGTCGAACCTAGAATCTTCTGATCCGTAGTCAGACGCGTTATCCATTGCGCCACTGGCCCCATGGTCAAAACAGTACATGGCCCAAAACAGGAAAAAAGTAAACTTTTAATATCCCAAATCGCAGAGAAAACAGTTTGTAGCTTGAAATTGCTGGCTGGGTATTAATCAGTATTTGGCTGAAATGGCAAAGGAGATCTGAGCATTTCCAGTTTTCTGGACAGCCAACTCTCGATTACTGAAATGAAATCGCAAGTCAACATCTATGCAGCATTGCCTTTAAAAAGAAGGCACGAGCCAGCCAGGAGTCGAACCTAGAATCTTCTGATCCGTAGTCAGACGCGTTATCCATTGCGCCACTGGCCCCATGTTCAAAATGGAACACGGCCCAAAACAGGAAAAAAGTAAACTTTTAATATCACAAATCACAGAGAAAACAGTTTGTAGCTTGAAATTGCTGGCTGGGTATTAATCAGTAACTGACTGAAATGGCAAAGGAGATCTGAGCATTTTCAGTTTTTTGGACAGCCAACTCTCCATTACTGAAATGAAATCGCAATTCAACATCTATGCAGCATTGCCCTTAAAAGGAAAGCACGAGCCAGCCAGGAGTCGAACCTAGAATCTTCTGATCCGTAGTCAGACGCGTTATCCATTGCGCCACTGGCCCCATGGTCAAGACAGCACATGGCCCAAAACAGAAAACAAACTAAACTTTTAATATCCCAAATCGCAGAGAAAACAGTTTGTAGCTTGAAATTGCTGGCTGGGTATTAATCAGTAACTGACTGAAATGGCAAAGGAGATCTGAGCATTTTCAGTTTTTTGGACAGCCAACTCTCTATTACTGAAATGAAATCGCAATTCAATATCTATGCAGCATTGCTTTTTAAAAAAAAAAAAAGGGCACGAGCCAGCCAGGAGTCGAACCTAGAATCTTCTGATCCGTAGTCAGATGCGTTATCCATTGCGCCACTGGCCCCATGTTCAAAACAGTACATGGCCCAAAACAGGAAACAAACTAAACTTTTAATATCCCAAATCGCAGAGAAAACAGTTTGTTGCTTGAAATTGCTGGCTGGGTATTAATCAGTAACTGACTGAAATGGCAAAGGAGATCTGAGCATTTACAGTTTTCTGGACAGCCAACTCTCCATTACTGAAATGAAATCGCAATTCAACATCTATGTAGCATTGCCTTTAAAAAGAAGGCACGAGCCAGCCAGGAGTCGAACCTAGAATCTTCTGATCCGTAGTCAGACGCGTTATCCATTGCGCCACTGGCCCCATGGTCAAGACAAAACATGGCCCAAAACAGGAAAAAAGTAAACTTTTAATATCACAAACAGCAGAGAAAATACAGTGTGCCTTGAAATTAAAGGATTGGCATGAATCAGTAATTTACTGAAATGACATAGGAGATATATATTGCATGTCATAAGTTTTTTTACATACGTAACTCTCGTGTTGCTGAAGTGAAATTGCAACAAGTCAGGATCCATATAGCATCACCTTTAAAACAGAAGAAGCCAGCCAGGAGTCCAACCTAGAATTGTCTAAGGTGTAGACAGATGCATTATCCATTGCGCTGCTGGCCCCATGTCTGTCTGAAACTTTTGCATCTCCTTAAGCTCTATAGTTTCCTGACATCTGCAGGGCCTTCAGGAAGAAAGTAGAATAATTTCATATACTTTTG